GAGATCTAATGCAAAAAATACTGTTAAGGAAGAAATAAAATAAGAAAAGAATTAGCAAAAAATTACAAGTTATATACAGATTAAAATAAATTCCATCAGGAAAAGAAACAACTCTTATTATTTTCAGTTGGCCCCTGTGGGAATAATTTAAAGGCCAAGCTCCTGGGCAGGGCTGTGCTGCAGCAGCAGCAGAGGCAGATGTGCTGGGACGGGACGTCCCATCTCCTTCGCAGAGCCTGGCTTCTTGGGACGTTGTCGGCTCTCGGGTTCCGTTTCCCCAAGAGCTTTGTGCAAATACATGAAGCAGTTCGGGTCGCACTGACTGTTGGTCTCAAGAGCCTTGGGCACTTTCACAGGGCGTTGTGGAAAACCAAAAAGGAAGGGTAAATTTTCTTGGAAAATACACTGATGCTGCTAATTTACTTTTTGTTCCTTCTGTACCAACCCCAGATGCTTTCCTCCTCGGACAGTCTGAGCCTCCTGGCTATCTAAAAACAGCCTCATGTCTGCTCTTGGGTGCAAAGATGAAAAGTATCGTTCCTAAGACGACCTGCGCTGTATCTGAGTAGCTGTTTCCTTTGTTTTACCGTGCTGGAAGGAGGCTTTGCTGTTGTTTCTCTGCACTGGACTGGCGCAGGAGCCTCTGTCTGTTCTTTTTGGTGCCAAGCAGGCAGAGTGGCTGTGGACGTCAAGTATTTACAGGCAGATACTGACCACTGTGTGCTGTTTCCCTGAAATCGGCCATTAACCCAGTCCTGCCAGCAGTTATTACCTGATACAATACTTTCTAGAAGCACACCCAGCACTAAAATATGCTGAAATCAACGGGGAAAGTTCCTCTCGACTCCACCGACTCTGGATGCAATCTTTACCCAGGCTGCTGATGCAGAACTGCAACGGGCCGGACGCCGAGCACGCGTTTGCACTCCGTGGCAGCGGTCCCGTCCTTGGCATTTCTGGTTTTTAGATGCTGTAAGTTGAAAATGCTCAGGACACCCATTTTAAAGGTTGTCTGAGTAGGCAATGTTATCCTTCACAAGGTCTAACTGCTTTCCTGACTATTCTGTAAATCAGCTTTACCTGCAAAATCAGCGCTCCAACAGCAGAGTGTAATTGCAATGTAGAAACGCATAAACATCGCGGTATTTCTGAAGGCTGCTGTGCATCAGTAAAGAAGATGAGACTTTGAAGCGATTTAAAATCACTCATAAAATATCCACGAGCAATTTTAGAGTCAGAGAGACAATTCGATTCTTAGCTATGTGCTTGAATTGGGGCTGTACCCCTGAGGTTACAAGGAAATTTTAATCTTTCTACTTAAATCCTAGGCCAAATAGCGGTGTGTGATGCGTATGCAACCATCCAGCACACCAAAACTGCACGAGTCAGGAACTTCTGCCACAGTTCCTGGATACTATCGACACTGACACGATGTCACTCTAAAAACACCCTGGGAGATAAATCAGATGATGTGTCTGAATTGCCCTCTGTAAGGTGAGACTCGCCCACCACATGCTTTCTCCACACAGCTACACCTCTCAGGTGAGGGTTCACGCCGGGACCTCTCTGCCGGGGAAGGTCCAAGCATTTTCAGCAGCTCAGTGGCGGGGCACTCAGGCCAGCGCGGGCTCAGTGCCACCGTCCCCCTCCCCAGCAGACTTGCTGAACGTGGCTTTTTCAAAACCCAGATGCTCAGGCTCGCAGGCGCTAGCAGAGCTGGAAATCACCCCCAGCCTCGCAGCGCAGGCACAGACAGAACGGCATCCAGAGCCCAGCTGATGACCATGAACCACGTATTTGCATGATACAGGGATAACCCCAACCTCAGCACGCTCCAGGCTGGAGGTCTCTCAAGCAGGACACTGCAGATGGTGTATGATGACTGCAGGCAACACAGCCTCGCCATCGGGAAGCTTTGCACTGTGCCGGTACGTTTGGTTGGGAACAAAGGACAGGACAGTGTTTCTGTGGGAGCAGAGAATTCCAAATTCTTTCAGGGGTCAGTTAACTGGGTTGAATTTACCCTTCCCTGGTAGAACTCCAGTGACTATGTGAGAATTGCACCAGGGATAGGTCACACCTGGCTCTCTTTCCTTATTACTTCACTATTCAGCTGAATTAATGCTACCGAATGGTTTCAAGTTTCCATTTCCACACAGGCTTTACTGGCTCAGTGATACTGTTCTGTCATGCTGAAGGGGCCAATATTTGATTGCACTGTTGCAATTCATGTCTTGCTCACGTTGTTCCTATAGACTGTGAAATCCTGGGGCTGCATCAGGGTTGTCCAGTTTTTGGAGAGGTTAATTCTGATAAATTAGAAATGAAAACTGTGGATAGGTAAAAATGCAGGACTTGTAGGTTGGATGCAACAGGTTTCCTTCTCAGCCAAAAGTCCAGACGACTCCCTGAGGCCCTCTCATCCATCTTCTGCTGGCTGGGATTTTTGCTAGGGTAATTGCAGCACCACCTCCTCCTCGCTTGGACTCTGGCCAGTGCCTTGTTGACCTCTCAGAGGTGGTTGATGGGGTTAAAGGTCCCCGACTCTGAAGCTGCTCCTGCCATGTCCAACCAAGCGCCCAGAGAGTTCTGGGAGGACGTGTGGAGGGGAGCGTTCTCAGACAGGGACAGCATCATTGCATAAGCCTGGAGGAGAGAAGAGTAATGCAGAGGAGATGTGTGAATACACACGCAGGACAAGCTGTAAGAACCACGAGAAGCAGAGCAGCACCTAACTGTACGGGAAACGCAGGGCAGCCAGCACCCTTTGGGCCTGGGCTAAGAACATGGCCCGCTCTAAATACACATCCACGGGCGAGGATGACACCCGTCCCTCCAGCTGCTCACATCTGCCAGAGCTGACAGGCAGTTGCAGGGCCAGGCAGGAGAGGCCACTGCTCCCATTGGCTTTTACAGGACCAAATCCATCTGTGCCAGCTCGGCACGTGGTCACCAACTCGCATGCTCAATTCTAGGCTCTGCTCTTGGGGGTAAGTGGCTACGTGAGAAATGCCAATTACTTTGTTTTGTTCTTAAAAAAAGGGACACCTACAGACACACAAGTGGCTCCGTGAGGCAAGAGCCCAGGCACACGCCACAGAATGGTGCAGCAATCGGGGCCTACAAGAAAGCTGGGGAGGGACCTTTTACAAGGACCGGTAGTGACAGAACAAGGGGAAATGGGTTTAAACTGGAAGAGGGGAGGTTTAGATTAGATATTAGGAATAAATTCTTCACTGTGAGGGTGGTGAGACTCTGGAACAGGTTGCCCTGGTAAGCTGTGGCTGGTTCTCCCTGGAAGTGTTGAAGGGCAGGGTGGATGAGGCTTTGAGCAACCTGGTCTAGTGGAAGGTGTCCCTGCTGCTGGCAGGGGGGTTGGAACTGGATGAGCTTTAAGGTCCTTTCCAACCCAAACCATTCCATGATTTTATGTCCATGCAGCCGTGATCTGATGGGCAGCTCCTCCTGACTCAGTGCTTGGCATCAGCCCACTGGTCCCTGTAGAAACCTGCGCACAAGTGTCTGGGAACACAGGCATGAAATGCTTGTTGGCATCACTGATGTGTTCACACGTTCTGGTCAGGGCAGATTTATCACTGCAGTGAAATAGTTAACAGTGTCTGCTGAGAAAAATGCATCCAAACTTCTGTCTTCTCTAGAACAATCTGCTTGCTTCCTTGTAACCTAGATGCTCTCTCTCTTCCAAGGTGACTTGTCTGTCCTGGTTTTATACCCTTTGTGTCCTTTCACAGCCCACACAAGTGATGTGAAGACTTAGGGAGATGATAACCTCACAGACTGGATGTGAAAGCCCATGTAATGGCCACCCATGATCTGAAACAGAGGAGGACGTGGTCCCCACCCTCCCTGGTCTACGTTAGCTGGTGTAATGTCCGCTCCTACTCTGCGATGAAAGTGTGGCTGTGCAGCCCTCTCCTTCACACTGAGCTTGCACCCACTCACTGAAAATCCTTTGTAGGGCAACAGACAAAGATCATACGTTATCTGGGACATCAGTGCAATGCTCAGCACTGCAGGACCTTTAGTCATGCAGCTGTAATGGTGACAATAGTAACCAGTTATCCAACTTTAGCCTCTCCTCTTAAAAGCTGAGGGTCAGATCTACTTGTCAAGTCAACACATTGGTGTAGTGGAGGTGTGTGCTGGAAGAAGCACAGCCCTGTAGTGTTATGGACATGCATGCTTCTAAAATCACTTAAAAGCAAGCCAGTCACTAAGGAGAGCTGTGCTCTCTCACAAATGTTGTTTTACTATTACATTTCCTGCACAAGACACAATTTGAATTATTTACTTGTTGTGATTTAAGTGTAACCAGTCCTGCATCTTACACTCTATAAAACTGATTCAAAAAACAAAAATCCCCCCTCACTCAAGCACAGGCTAGACATAACCACATAGTACAGATTTTAAAAGAGCAAGCTGTTCTTAAATAGTTAGTACATTTGGCATATTAGTAACAGGACACATGTAAGAGTCAGGCAAGTGGCTTGTGCTTAAATTAGTTTTACCCAGAAAAAAGCTGTGTCCTATCTTCAAGCAGATCTCCCCCAGGTTCAGCACTAGCACCTACTATGAAGGAGGACAATAATTTCACGGGTTTTGGGTGATGATAAAGCAAAAATCATGTTCTGCTTGGCAATTGCATTAAGTTACTACTATGCTGGGCATTTCTTTTGTGAGAATCCTTTTGTAGGGATTGAGGTAGGAACTTCATAGAACTAGACTGAGGATTTTGGTTTAATGAAAAGCAGAGAGCACAAATGGATCTGCCCTGTACCTCCAGATTTTTCTCAGAACTCAAATAGGTGCTGAGATGTCATTTTGAGGTTTCTTGGTGGGTCTGAACTCAGAAGGCAGAGTTTAACCTTTTGCTTTTAGAAATCAGGGAGATAAATGAAGAAGTTGCTGGACTGCAAGTCCAGGAAATATTACTGCCTATTACACAGTTTATAAACAAACCCAAGGGTATTTTATCACTGTTTCTGCAGACCAAACCTCCAGTTTCTTATTATGTACCAACTAAAGACCCATCCCAAAGTATAAATAAATAATATCCATAAAAACATTTATACAGACAGATAAAAACAGACAGATGCCTCAATCTTTCTATATAAGCATGTTCTCACAGCACAGGCTAAATGATAAATTGACCTGGTGACCTAAAATTGATGCCCACTCCGTTTCTCCTCTATTTTAGTACAGTTGCAACAAGACACAGTTCACATATGATTCACACATTACAGTGACAATTCCTGCTCACTGGAAGGGGAACATAACCCATAGCTAAAGGAGGCCAGCTGCTCGCTAACCCTATCGTACGTGCTGGCAGTGAGCTAGATAAAATGTTCTGTCATGTACCTACCTGGTTTTTAGCCTGCCTGTACAGAGTCTGTTTTATTGTCTCAGAGTCTAAGGTGGAATTAAACACATCTTTAACTTCAAATGCTTCCTCGGCTGCTTTGCGAAGATCCAGCCCCTTCCCAAAATTCGGCATCTGCTCCAAATCTAACAGGCCGGCTTCGTCCTCCTCAATACACCTGTACCAATGACCAGGGGAAGGGGTTGACCTGTTGTTAGCTCATCTCACCGACGTGAGGGTTCTAGCCCAGTGCCTGCATGCACAAACCATGGGGGTCTCACAAGCCACATGCGTGAACCGACAGACGGACAAACAGGAAGATGACACAAAATGCAAGGAGCAAAGGAAAAGTGGAGAGCATGACTACGCACAAACAAGCATTAGTGCTACAGATAATTTGTGATTCGGCGTGGCTACAATTCACTTTGGCCTTCTGTGTGGAGACGCCCAATTGCTGTGCACTCCTTGAAATGTCTGACACTGGATCACTGTCTGGGGAACGCTGCTGCATTTTCTTTGAGTTGCAATGAAAACAGTGATGTAAGTAAGATACTACTTTGCATCATGGGACATTTGTCACGAATACCAGTTGGGAACGTGAGGTAAACTGAGGCAAAAAGAAAGCTAAGCCTATATATATGTGCATCAAACTTTAATTTTAAAGGTGTCTAGTCATGGTCTGACCTTGGCAAAAAAAAGCTTCACTTTTTCCCAGAGCTCTGAGAACTCCACTTGAAGTCACCAACATTTTGCTACAACCAAAATGGGCAGAGCAGCACAAAAGCGACTGCACAAATACGCCTCTTCCTTTGCCCTGACCAGAGTTTTAGAGAGAAGGACATTATCTGCTGAACTGTGGTACCTGAAAAGGCTGTTTTCTGTGTTGGACTAACTAATACAAACTTCTCAAGTCTTGGATATACACCTTATCACAGATTTTCCTTGCAGTCCACTTGTTTTGTGTCCCCCACCACAGTGAAAATGGAATCTCTCAAGTGAATGCTTAAATCAAACTGAAGGTATGAGACATGGCTTGAAAAATAAAACAACAGCACTCACAATCTACCACTGACACAGGGTCAGAAGTCTGAGCCCCATTCGACTTCTCAAAAGGAATAGCCCCGCTCACCTTCGGGTATGGTCAAAGCTCATGGTGAGAGATGTGGGCTCCTCATCTTCTTCATCCTCAAATGGTCCTCGGGGCTCAGCGGTGGGTGATACTGTTTCATCCTGTGACTTCCCTGTCAGGCTGTCATCATCTTCCTCTTCCAGTTCTTCATCTTCATCATCCACATCTTCTGTTTTCTCATTTGCTAATCCATGACACTGGGAATTGCCATCAATATCCTGGATTTCTGGCCTGAAATATTTGGTCAAAGGGGGGAAGAAGAAAGAAAAGAAAAAAAGAAAAGAGGCCAAATGTGTAAGTCACCCATTTTCACTGTAATGCAAGACTTTGATAATTTTATACATATGTATGAACACAGAGACATATTTATGTACATATACATATTATCTGAACTGCAAGGAAAAGGAAAACCAACACATTTCAGGCATTTAAAAATCAGTCTTCACAGCCTCTGTCTTAAGGGTTAATAAGTCAAGTATATACCAACCCAAATGCTCTTCAAACTACAATTTTGTCTAGTCTGGATTTAAATTAGAGTTTTCCATCTCTCAAAATATAACATCTGTAGGAAAAGCAGCTTTCCTCCTTCTCTGTGCTGCTGTACTCTAACAATCTCCCTTGAGCAACCAGAAGGAGGAAGCTTTCTCATGGTGTAATCTAACAGCCAGTCTAAATTCCCTCTCCTATTATTTTTCCTGCTCGTGCCCATGTGAACCTAGTGGAATCCACAAAAGTAGCCGTTTTAACTTAGGTTAAGAGAACAAGAGTGGGATAACCAGTGCTATGGACCTGGAACCCAAGAGGATGACACCAAGTGACAGCTGGTGTCAGCCCTCCTAACTTAAGTCCCTTTCTGAAAAGACTTAACAATGGGCTTAGAGCTTGAAGTTGGAACGTATTTTCCTTCCAAACTGTTACATTTCTCTCTTTTGAGCATTTTACAGGACACAGGCTGACTGGTCTTTCAACCATGTTAACAATACATATCACCAGATAATTTTATTTACTTGTCTACCTTTTATCTGCTAAAGTTGATGCTTGGTTCATCTCACTATTTGCAATAAAATTTCTGATTTCAGAGAAATACGAATCCTCTTTTTCATCTAAAAGTGCATGGTTGTCTGATTCCGAGTTTGGGGAAGAGGCACTGGTCCCAAGGTGGTTTGTAATGACTCCAGAGTGCTGGCTCACTGAGTGAGAGAAACAAGAAAAGAGAACAGGAGAAAAACAATCAGATATTGTCAACGCTATCATTAAGAGGAAAAATAAAGGAGGAACATTACACAGCAATCCTCTCACTATAGGGTAATGATTTAACATTCAAGAGAAACCTCGCAGACCAAAGCTGCCAAAGGAAGCTCATGTTTTCCAGACTTGAACTACGGAAAGAGAGGTGACATTCAGCATTTACGGATGGTATATACAATTTAAGAACCACTATCCATTGCACAGCTGTTTGCCTATCACTTTTCCATATTCTTTTCTCCTAGGCTGGGATTAGTTGGCTTCAGCACAGTCATTTCTTCCTTTGGGTTTTATCTTAAGGTAAAGGCTGTTTTATCTTCTTGAACTTCACACACACGTACAATTGCATTTCAAGCTGAAAACCCTTGGTAGAGTTTGACACGTCCACACCAGCACTGCAGCAGGAGATCTCACAGCGGGAGGTTATGCTCCCTGGGAAGTCAGTATCCCCATTGCTGTTTGATGGATTGGAAAACAGCACGTTGTAGTAATACCTGCCAAGAGCTTGGCAGAGCTGAGTACTGTGCGTGAGTGTGTGTGTTACAATTACACACTGTGGATAAACGTGTCTTTGGCTGCGTGAGGAGCTGCTGTTTGATTTTTGCTACCTAATGATATTCAGCCTTAAGAAACAGCGCTTTCCACAAAGGCTTCCCAAGGACCAGAGAGACCAGACCATGGAGTCTTCCCTGTCCAGTGTCCCAACAGAACCAAGCACACAGCCATGCCCTTTCCTACCTGGAACGTTCTCGTGTTCGTGTTTTTTAAGATGTCGGTCCAAGTTGGTCTGCTGCCCAAAGCATCGGTTACACAGGTGACATTTGAATGGCTTCTCCTTGTTATGGATGTTTCGAACGTGCCGCTGGAGGTTGGAGGAAATGCTGAATGACCTGTCACAGTATTTACACCTGAAAAAATAGAAGCAAATACCAAAGAGTGCAATGTGAGAAAAAAAAAAAAGAAAGAAAAAGAAAAATCTGACTATCAGAAAAGCAGAAAATGTTGGTCTATAAATCTTTACTCAGCTGAGGACCTGGGAAGCACAAGGCATTAATCATTCCAGACAAATCTGATATTATTGTTACTCAAGGAGTACAAAGAAAGGATTAGGATTAATTAAGAACTGAGTTGTCCAAAAAAAAAAAACAAAAACCAACCAAAAAACAAAATAATTACTTTTCCACACATGAATTTAAAAACAAGAAAGGTGAATTTATTTCTTCCACCCTTCTCATTTTGCAGGGAAAGCAGGTAAAATATGGCTGTGGAGGGAGGAAAAAGAAGACAGAAGGAGAAGAAAGAAGGGAGGTTAAATGTACAAAATAGCTATTAGCAAGTATATCCCTACATGACAGAGTTATCTGGACAGACAGACAACTCCAGATTTATTTGTGAAATTCCTCATGGTACTCAGGATGTAGGCAGGCCTTTAAAGGTAATTATGGTTATTATTATAGTACAATAGCTCCCAAAAAATACACTGTAGTTTCCAAACAGGGTAAGATTTACTCCTGCGTAGTGAATATCTGGTTCAGGATGAAAAAATGTGGAATGTATTAGGGAAACTGCTGAGTGAAGAAATGTTCCCTCTTTGGAAGAAAGCTCGGCAGGACCCAGGGTAGATGTGCTGGAAACTTGTTCAAAGTTGCCACCCCCCTCTCTGGATTCAGATTCTCCCCAAAAAAACCCAAGGATTTGCTAAACCGTGGTGCTTCCTGAACTCAGCCCTCTCCTTCTCTCCCAGCGCAGGAGGAGCAGGAGGCAGCCGCTGTACTGAAGAGGGCAGCTTTGCACCGCAGTCAAGAGTTTCAGTACTAAAGCTACAGAAAATCGAATTCTTCTTTGAATTCACTTGAATCCCTCATTAGATCTCCCTTTAAATACGTCATTTGTACCTCAACAAAGCTGCTTTCCTCACGGCTCTACTTCCAAAACCCAGGAGAGGCAGAATCCTCTCTCCCCTACAGACCTCTGCAAATCCTGTGCACTTAGGGGAAAAAATAAAAACTGTTCCTAAAGCCTTGTGATTCCAAAACAAACCCGCTGGCTTTAGCAGAACTCCTCTGTGCTCCTCTAGCTGAGAGCAACATTTGTCCCACTGAGCTGAGCTACTGTTTGATCCAGGCATGAAGACCCTGGTGTGTTTCTGCGTGTTTCAGGAGTGCCACGAGTTCATCATGGGAACAGAACACGCAGAACTTGCCTCGTGCCTGTGCCAGTCAAGTGTGAAACTTTGCCTCGACACTTAGGACACAGTATTGTTTCCTACAAACATGACAGGTTCAAATGCGGGAAGGAGATGTGAGTGTAAAAAATCTATACTGTGAAACACTCACACCATTTCCAGATGTGCTACAGCTGTGATTTTTATTTGGTCTCTAAAAATAAATTGGTATTATTTTTGGAAATAGCAGAGATACATTTATGAAACACTCTCTCTCTCTCTCTCTTGCTGAATGTTTATGGATTCCATGTCCACCTCCAAATTTCCTACTGTTAAACCACCAAAAAGAATAAAGATATTTCACATAATGAACCTTTATTATGATTAATCTAGCAGGGAAGCAAAATCTCTTTTCAAACCACAGTTTTCTTAGACTTCAAAAGTTTTTCTTTTTCATTTTTTAAAAAAACACGATTGAACAACTAAAGAAAATGAGACGCTGTTTGAGCATCAGCGAGAACAAGCACAGTTTATATACAGAGAGTTAAACATGCACATTTCCAGCTCCTATCCCCCTCCTATCTGCTTGCAGGAGCTGCCAGGCTTCAGCAGCCTCGCTGAGCAGCACTTCAGAAACTGGAATGTCCACTACAGCCAATCCCCAATGTCCCTGTCACTCCACAGGACTTCGCCAGCGGTTCTGCCCAGCTTTGTTCCACCAGTATGGTCCCAGTAGTCCCCTCCTTGCTCTGCCCACAGTTTTCACCCCTGCCTGTCCCCCCAGCTCTACGCCCTTCGAAGCCAAACTCCCCTTTGCTGGTGTTCACCCACTGCCTGGCACAACCCAGCACCGGGGCTCTGGGTGCCACCCTGCCTACGGCTGCCCTGGCACCCACACCGGCTCTCGCCCACATCACTCACAAGAGCAGCTCTGGTGACTTCAAAGGGAGCACTTGCACGCGCAAGGCAAGAACGAGCTGGCCTCCTGTCTGTCAATTTATTTAGATGTTCAGGAAGTCTTTGAAAAGTTTCCTTTGACAGGTCCTTGCTCTAACTATGAGCTATGTGGATCCAGGTTAGGGTACGGAGCAAGAGCTTGTTAAAAAAATAGGAAACAGAGGGGCATTCGAGAGGAGCAACAGCAAACGTCTGAAAGCAAAGGGATGAGGGAGACGTCCTGTATTATTTGTGGTCCCAGAGGGGCCGGTGCTTGGATCTCTGCTGGTTTTAATCTAAATAAATGAGCCAGACAGAGGAACCAGCTTAAATTCAGGGAAGAGGTGAACGCAGAGGCAGGACAAGAATAAAACTCCAAAGAAACGGTATTTGCTTTGTAAACACACTGACAAACTGCTAGTAAAGTTTCCTCCTTATCAGTTTAACGTAACACACCAATGGGCTAAAACAAAATATAAAGTGGGAGTGAATGATAGCTCTGAACGAGCCAAAGCTGGAACTCGGGAGCTGTGAGGAACGGCAGGAGATGCTCAGAGCTTGAGAGAACTCAGATACCTGGTGTGACACGACTGGAAGGGGACAAACAGCAAACAAACCCAGGAACGTAAGAGCGAGTAACTGGGCTAAGAGCTGTACCACGACCCCGACAGTTCGGTAACACTTCACACGTGACACAAAGGCGTTTGATCTCGTGCTTTGTAAAGTTTCAACAGCACGACAGCACTTGCAAAATTTAACACTTATTTGATGATCAATGTGAGCTGTAAAGGCAGAATTGTAGCAACAAAGTGTAAAACACACGGACAGCTACTCCGAGTAATTCCTTAACCTCAAGTGTGTTTATAGCAGGGATGAATTTAGTCTGTATTTTAAAAAAACAAAATGAGGAAGAAGAGATTTTTATTGAACCATGTGCAATCTTAAATGACATGGTAGACATCAGCTTTAGTTGTTAGTTCCAGCTTAATGCAGATAACAGGACACGGGGGCCTAAAAGGAAATTAAAGAAAAACAAATTCAAAACAGACGTCAGGAAGCACATCTTTATAGGAGGAATCACAGGCAATGCTTCAGGATTGGGTGTAATTCAGGAATCAATTAGATGGCATCCTGGAGGGAAGGGACATTTAAAAGGAGAAAATAAGGTCTTGCCGAATCAAACGGCTTTTAGTTGTTCTCAGTCCAGGTTTTATGCAGTTTATGTGATTCTGTGACTCCAGAGAATGAAAACAAAACGAAGAAGCAAACCCACAACTACAGTACACCCGTATGTTCACGTGCTCCAAGTGTAGGGAGCTTCACTAAAAAACTGCCTCCTCTGGGGGTTGCTTGGCAAGCTCAGAACGACAACAAAGTCCTATTTTTTACATCCCGAGTTTCCAGGCAAGCCTGTCATGATTTTACAAGCCCAACTTATTTTGCATTTTTCAGAAAGAAACAGTTAAGTTCGATAGTCCTTTTTACCACTACTGGGTTTTGAAATACATACTACTGGAGTTTAGATTTGGTGTGAAAAAGAAGAGTGAAAAGCAGCACCTCAAATTTCACTGTATTGCATGTTGTCTTTGAGTCTTTTCAGACCAGTGGATTTTTAGGAAGTTCATTAACAGGTATTTCTCACTCTCTAAAAAACATGTAGCTCTTTCCCAACCCTTTACAAAAAGAATTAATTTGCCTCCTTATTGTTCATGTGCTATTAATTCCCACGAAGTTTTAAGTGACTTGGTAAAAAACACATCACTTACCAACGACAATCAGGAATCAAAACTAAAGCACCTTATTTTCTGGCCTGCATGTTTCTTGATCTACACTTGGACATTTGGTCAGTTTTTGGTAGCTTTATGAACATTTTAATTTGTATTTCGATGAATATATAACACTGACAGAGTCAAAAACAACCAAAAGAAAAATGATAAGAAATACATCAGTAAAACACTGGAAAGTCAGCAACCTCCTTTTACCTGCACAAAGTCGGCACTTAAAAAACAAGCTTTCAAAACAATTATTGCTGCAAAAGTTGGAAATCTCAGTTCTCCGAGAGCAAAAGAAAATCAATGATAATTAAGCTCTTCTGTAAACGTAGCACTAACTCTCAGGAGTGCTGTTATAATGCAACATTGTCCAGAAGTCAAACCTCTATTACAAAAAAAACACACAGGCTATTTTCTGGGAGAAGACCAGATCAAATAAATCTTTATTTTCCTAACCTTTGTTAAGTTGCAAGTCTCCTTTTTTGGAAGAAAACTGAACTAACAATCTCTGAATAATCAGGAGCGAGCGTTTTCGTCAGACAGGGGTGGATAGTGAATACACAGCATTCATTCAAGGCATATCAAATAACGCAACCGAAAACATCAGGACGGGGAATGGTTCCAAAATATATGTCTGCATTGGAGAGGGGTTTTTTTTTTAAATTTTTAATTTACCTAATGTCTACACTCAAAATTCAGTATGGAAAAAAAATTTGAGTCCGTATGTACCAGGGATTACAATGTAGGAGAGAGTAGCTCCTTGAGTTAAACTAAGCATAAAAATTTAATGTGTTTGACCACATGGTCTTTTGCTGCTGATAAATTTGTGTTTCTCTTTATATAATAACTATTACATTAGCTTTGTTGTGAACTTATGACTGTGTATGGAAATACCATAATATTAGCTACCAAAAATGAAACTGTTAGAATTGTTACTATTGTCTGAAAATGCACAAAACACTTACTGACATGACAGAGAAAACAATGCTGCGTTTTCAGTGAGCTCTCAATCCACCGTTCATTCGCTTTTGCTGATACATGTACCTATTCTAACAAGAAATCTACCAAAGCATGTTTCTTGCCAAAGTTTTTTGAAACTGATTGCAAAACACTAGCAGAAAATATCAAGGGGAAAAAAAATTCCAATTTGGTCTTCCATGAGAAATGTTCCTTCATATACCTCCTTCATATAACTATACACACACACACACACACACATACTTACACATAAGTTCTTGTAAGCTTTATTCAGGTTTAAAACACTCACTTAACCAGGTGTCCCTTTAGCAGACCCAGCACCCGTGTGTGCCCAGGCTGGGATGCCAGGCCCGCAGGCAGGGTCTGCTCCATGGGAAGAGATGGGCAGTTTTGCACAGACACAAGGCAAAGAGAAGTATGAAATCAAATCACCGTGTCCACAACTGGCAGAAAACAGCAGTTCAGCCTTCTACCTTCAACACCCAACCGAGCATGTGAGACAGTGTGTGAATTTCCCCACTCTGATCACTCTTTGTAAACTTTGTGATTTAAGGTAGGACGCTCCCTGACTGGGATTTTAAAGCAGATACATGACAGGGCTTTGCTTTGCTTTTGTTTTTTGATCCACTACTCCAGGCACCTCTGATACGCATTAGGAAAAGAAAAAAAAACATCTAGCCAGACCCAGCAGTTAACTCACTGGCAAGCCCTTCAAACCAGCCCCATTTTCAGAGACATTCAGCACCTTCAGCTGTCCTTGAGATGAATGGTTAACGTGAGTGTTAAACAACACTCCAAATCAGACCCCTCATCTGCCAGCATACATCTAAATATAAGTTAAGTGTCTATCTTCGAGCTGCCAAGCCTGATTATTTTTGGCTGGTGCACATAATATACAATCCTATGAATCATTATATGTAATGCTACAGGACTGTGGTATTATGTTGGCACAGCTTTATAGAAAAGAGAAAAAACAACAGAGTGTGAAGGAGGAGTGTGTTGGGACAGGGTTTTTAGCCGGGGGACAGCCTCACCTGTAGGGCTGCTCTCCAGTGTGTGTCCGCAGATGCCTTGTCAGATTTGCTGAGCGTGGGAAGATCTTACCACAGTACCTAGAGAGTGAAAGCCAAAGGAACCATCAGAGTCCTGCCACACCAGATCACTTACACACTATCACAGCTACCATCGACCTCGCTCGCTTTGACACCGCTCCCAAAATCAGAAAATCCCTTTGTGCACTAATAATTCCAGACACCCATGTACGGAGGGAGGAAGCTGGGGAGGGAAGAACTAACAGAGTGACACCCACCCCAGAATAACAGGATTCACAGTGGTGAGATACTGGTGTAACCCATTGCCACCAGAGACAGAGAACAACAGTTGATGGAAGGGCAGGAAAAAGAAAAGCCCTGTAAGAACACCCGGTTCAGACCCCAGTGCAGGCTGACTCAGCAGCTTCGCCTGGAGGCCTGGGCAGGTGTACAGGAACACAGAAAGGGTGTAGGAACCCATCCCCAATATATTCTCCCAGCTTCCACATGGACTTGAAGATCCTCTTAAGCCAAAGGTCGAACAGTTATGTGCAATACCTTTTTGCTGAGTTTTTTCCACTTATTTTTCTAAAAGCTTTTTGAATGCACATAAGCTTTGACATCCACAACCTCCCGAGGCAACGAGTTCTGCTGAACTGTGTGTTGTGTAAAAGAACCTCCTGTTGCTCAGTAACTGTGTTTGATCCCACCTTGTTCCTGCATTAGGACAGTGTTTAATCACTGCCTATTCATATTCTCTGTCACTTGAGAGTTTTTAGATCTCTTATAGCCCTGTTTAGCTGCTTATCACACAGAATCTACTTGATCAGAGTTCACAGAGTTTTCTTCTAGATCAATGCTGCAGCACTGTGTTCCTGTTACTGGGATATTCTGCTGTGAGCCTGACAGTCCACTTCGAATAAGGAAACGCAGCAATAGGAAATGAAATAAGAGAAGGAACTATGTTCCACAATAAATCTGATTCACAGTAAACTCAAAAGGAAGGGAGGTATAAATAAAAAACATTAATTGGGAAATAAAATACTAAGGATGAAAGGTTACATTCTGTGACTACAAAACCTGATGCTCAATGTTTTAGAAGGAAGATGTGAGCAGAGTTTCTTAATTTAAGAGACATTCAGCACCTTCAGATGTCCTGAAGATGAATGGTTAAACTGAGTGTTAATCAACAATGAAAATCCAAATGTTGACTTTCCAGTGTATATCTAAACATCAGTTTAGTCCTTATTGTAGGTAGAACCCCCAAATTTCTAAATAACCTACTGAAATTTGAGCCCATAGCTTTTGTGGCAAAGCTGAGCAGAAGAGAAACATCCAACAAAACACAGACTCACTTACTGCACCCAAGAAAAATGCAATGGGATCATTTCTCTGAGCTTTCAGAGCTGCAATGGATATGCAAGTATTTCTGTGGATACAACTGTGTTTGAAGAGGTTGTTTACTGTGTGCCATTCTGTAAATTGCATTATTTAGCATAGCTGAGATTGGACATAGCTGAGATCGCACTCTCACTGCAAACTGCGGCATTTGCTACCACACGCAAGAGACTTGGCTTGGAGAATTCTGTTTGCTTGAGAATCTCCAGATCTGCTCTCAAGGTTATTCAAAATTACAAAGAAAACAGAAGATGCTGATTTTCTACCAGACAAAACAAGCTATTTCAGAGTGAATTAGTCATGAGAATGATCCGTTCTAATTCTGCCGCTTCTTGTTTTTCCTCCCACCCCTGCCAAGACAGTGAAGATGTCCATGTGAAGTCGCTCTGTCACACGCTGGTGGCTGATGCAGTTATCTGGGGGGGTGGCATTCTCCCAGGGCTGCCTCAACAAGCTGGGGGTACGGTCTCTGTTCCGTGGGGTGCCCAGGTCCTTACCTGCAGGTGTAACGCTCCTTGCCCTTGCGCAGGATGGGATCGGATAGCGTGGGTGGCGGAGATCGGAAGTTGAAGGGGTGATGCGGAAGGGGCTGCAGGGAAGTGCCAGTGTCTGCCTTCATGGCTGCAAAACTCTCCAGTTTCTCCGTCATTGTTTCTATGGCTGACATCTACAAGTACAAGGCAAGACCTCATGTCATAAAAATCCCCAGGAAGAACAATAGCTGATGCATCAAACACATCTTTGAGCACTAGTGCGTTGGTCAGAGCCTGTTGCTGGTGTTTGCTCTTGCTCTCAGAAGCCAGCTGCTCAGCATGCAATGGAGGCACTGAACCCAGCCAGGGAAGAGAGAAACAGCCATCAGGCTCAGGGAAATCAGAAAAGGTACAACTGGCAAAGCCAGGCAGGAAGCATCAGATCTTAGAAATTAGGCACTTGGTTACCTTCTGCAATGGGCATGGGCTCACTTCCAGCATTTCAGATTAAAAATTTATCTCAGAATACATTTGGCTTCCCTTTTCCAGGGATGACACTGAAATCAGACACTGTGGTCAACTGCTGGATGTAGAACTCGCCACCCAAACCCTCATCTCAAACTCAAACCAAAGTCTTGGGAAGTAAGGAGGTCTGATGTCTCATACAGCATCCGTTACCCTTGCATGGGCTCAGAGGGACAGCAGCAGCGAGCCATGGACAGGTGACCTCTGGTTAGAGAGGACAGAGAAGTTTTGGGCAAGAGGCAGAAGAACATTGGCCAAAGCAGAGTGGGAAGGAGCATGGGGGAATGTATGACCCTGACCAGGGAGCTGAGATGGAGGAGAGGCTGAGGCTGGAGGGGAGGAGAGGGAGCAGCTGGGGGAGAGGAGGAGTTCAGCTCACTCAGGATGGAGTGGGTCCACAGGGAGTCGGCCTGGTGAAGAGGCCAACATTTTAATGATATGTAAGAAAGGTTCAGGAGCCAGTAAAGGTGATGGAAGGATGGGTGGGAGATGGCTGAGCTTCCTGGAGTGAACGGGAATTCCAGCCAAAATACCCTACGTGAGCCATGGCTGGATGAGTTATGGTTGGGAGGACCACAACCAACACACTGAAAGCCTGTTTGGTGGCAGTGGCAGAGGTGGGACACCACATAAAACGTCTCTGGGTGACTTTATCAGCTTCAGTTTGTGTGGCTCAGCAATGGCCACGTTCTCACATAAAGACTGGATTAAATATCACACCAGAAAGGGGGAGAACGGGAAAAACCTGGAGATAGAGAAGGGAAAAGCAAAAAAAGGAAGAAAAAAGTCAGCCTGTGTGCAAAATAAAAAAGGACAGGCATAAAAGTCCTACCTAAAGAAAATCACTTTTGCTTTCACTAGAGCAAAACAGGAAATCCAAATCCAAGAGAGAAATGCAACTCGGAGGACTATGCTGACATCTCCAACGTTCAATTTTATGCGCTCCTGAGAGCACTTTCAAGATACCAAGCAGAAAACATGGATAAAACAAACAAGGCAGCAATAAAGCTGCCTCCTCGCCGCAGATGACATCACTGGGAATGAAGGGAGCACTGGGGGGAGTGGGAGCCTGAATGGAGAGTCAGCCCGAGAGCTGGGGGACAGCAAGCGAGCGGAAGGCAGTAGGAAGCCATATATCAAAACTAGATGCTCTATTGTACAGGAAGGGCTGACCTTTTGCACGTTTACACTTTATTAAACTGGGCTCGAGGGGGGGAAAGAGAGCCAGGATATTGTTTAAAATGTATGACTATAAAAAAAAAAAAAAATAAAAGTTGTCTTAATCACCAAAGAATACATTGTGGAAGGCTGACAACCATTCATAAGCTGTAAAAAAGAGGAGCAGTAAAACCCATTTCCCGATAATAGATCCACGGCCCCTTAGTTGGAGGCTCCCAGCCCATGATAAATAGTAAGTAATACTTAGCGCCAGCCACTTGAAAAGGTTACTTGATCATTTACAGCAAAAGCTCTGCCCCAGCTGCCAGTCATGTAACAAAACCATCATGTTAAAATGCTATCCGGATCTTTCAGAGCTATGCCACTCAGCCCTTTGCTGGAGTACCTGGAGATATCTTTTGTTGTGCCCTGTTCTTTAGGCACTTAGTCAGAGATGTTTGCTGGCTTGATAGCCGTAGGCTTATTTTAAAATTCTAAACACCGGCCATAGCCTCTCCAGTGGTAAAGGCACTTTGCTATTTAGGGAACAACTGCCTGGTTATAATAAAAAAGAAGGGGAGAAGAAAAGGAACTTAACAGGTGAGAAAAGGTTTTCCATTAAGTTATCAAAAAGTTACACCATTTATTTATGTTGTCCAGAGTTTCATTTAAAATGGACAATGTAAGAATAACTCCCATCACAGCAGAGAAACTACTGTCAATGACTGGCTAAGAAATATAAGTTGCCTGAAATTAATTCTGAGAGAGAAAGCATCTTCTGAATGCTCAAGTCTTTATTACATCTTTTGGCTTAATCACATCCCACCCAGGGGTCTCTAGGAGAGCTGGGGAATTATTCAGAGAAGAAAAGGCTGAGACCAGACTCGTGTTTAGAGTAAGAGAAACACACACAGAGCGTGCCTCTACCTGACCTGGTATATGAACAGTGGTACTGACAAAGAAGACACAAGCAGGAACCCCTGAAAATATGATTTCTTAGGAAAAGATCCGGGATAATATCAGATGGGGATATGGTAGCAAAAATCTCACATATTCTTGAACAAATGACCTGTCTTCGTTCACAGTGAGTACCTGAAATACCTGATGGATGGCAGAGCATGGGAACAGCAACGCTCTAGATCAAGTGATCTTTACACAGCAACCCACTTCATTAAAAATTAGTTATCAGGAAGTTTCGGGCTGGAGTGATTGTAAATTTTAGGCTATTCTGTGTGATAAGCTATTAGAGATAACCAGACCTTCCACATCTTTTCATTGCCATGGGAAGAGGACGTGGTCAGGATTTCAGGAACAATGTTAATAACCTTCCACCCAATGCCTGCTCCGACTCAGGGCCTGGACGTTTCTCATCGTCTTGTTGGGTTGCTTTGCCACACTAGCTCCTCCCTGCTATCAGATTCTTTACAGGCAGATATCCCCACTATTCTAACTCACACAAACACAGGATGTTCCTGGCCAGCCTGTCACCATTATCCAGCCTGGCTGAAGGAAAAATCAGGGGAAGTTATTAACCAAACTCTGAGGCTGATGCGAAACAATGAGGGAACTAAGTTTAGCTGTGAAAGCAACCAGGATCCAGCTTTCACAAACCTGCAAGTTATTTATCTAAGGTGGGAAACATTATCAGAGGAGAACAATGCCTGTAAATATAAAGGAGAGTACAATAATGACCACAGAGCTCAGCTCCCAGTGTGTGTTCACAGCAGGAGAGACGGAGGATAGCTGGCGACCGTCAAGCTGGAGAGGATGACGTGTGGGAGAACTCGCTGCATTCCCATTACAGAGCAAGGAATCCTACGAGCAAAGAGTAACAGCTTCTTGGGGAGTTCAGCTATGGCTTAGAAAATAAGGGGCTTGTAAACTGGGGTTGATTCTCGTGAACAGTCTTGGCTGCACTGGAGTTAGTTGTGCCTTACAAATACTCAGGGGCAAAGGTCTGGTCCGGCTGCGCTGTGGGGTTAAGGGCTGGCACTCCTCGTCCACCCTCAAATGGGAAAAGCTGCCCAGCAGCATTTCCCATTGCTCTGCAGTGACTCAGACCCGAAGGAGATGCAGAAAGAGCAAAGACCCATGAGTTGTCAGAAGAACAGAGACTAGAGCAGCTGTGCAGGAAGGAGAGAACACAAGTTCTCTGGCAAGTGACCCACCACCTCTTGGAGCAGGCAGAACTGAACCCTGATTCTCCATTGCCCTGCACTTTCGCGCTTTCTAGATGATGTGAGGGAACATCAGGCAGGTATAAAATGCTACTGCTTGGATGCTGGACAGTCCTTCTCCACTTTGCACTAGTGCAAATGACTGCACCAGGTGTTCCCAACGGAAAAATTATGTAGGCATTCTGGCATGTGAAAGGGGAGTCTGGCAGAGCAGAGGAGCTGTCCTGATCTTCTGTTAGTGCAAAAGAAACAGCAAGGCATAACTACCACCATCCTCCAACCAGCTATGGAATTAAAACTGTCTGAAACTGAACTGGTGGAAAATAGCGGAGTTTCCAAGGGCCATCCAGGCCCCTGGATGAGAAAAAGTCTGATCTAAGTGACCAGTTTGTACCAGTTTCATCTCAAACCTCTC